TTAGGAGCAGTGAGACACGGGGCGGCGCAGTCTCCGGACTCGAACCCCACTGAACACCTCTGGAGGGACTCGAACCCCACTGAACACCTCTGGAGGGACTCGAACCCCACTGAACATCTCTGGAGGGACTCAAACTCTGAACACCTCTGGAGGGACTCAAACCCCACTGAACACCTTTGGAAGGACTCGAACCCCACTGAACACCTCTGGAAGGACTCAAACCCCACTGAACACCTCTGGAGGGACCCCACTGAAACCCCAAAACCCCACTGAACACCTCTGGAGGGACTCAAACCCCACTGAACACCTCTGGAGGGACTCAAACCCCACTGAACACCTCTGGAGGGACTCGAACCCCACTGAACACCTCTGGAAGGACTCGAACCCCACTGAACACCTCTGGAAGGACTCAAACCCCACTGAACACCTCTGGAGGGACTCAAACCCCACTGAACACCTCTGGAGGGACTCAAACCCCACTGAACACCTTTGGAAGGACTCGAACCCCACTGAACACCTCTGGAAGGACTCAAACCCCACTGAACACCTCTGGAGGGACTCAAACCCCACTGAACACCTCTGGAGGGACTCAAACCCCACTGAACACCTCTGGAAGGACTCGAACCCCACTGAACACCTCTGGAAGGACTCAAACCCCACTGAACACCTCTGGAAGGACTCAAACCCCACTGAACACCTCTGGAGGGACTCAAACCCACTGAACACCTCTGGAGGGACTCGAACCCCACTGAACATCTCTGGAAGGACTCGAACCCACTGAACACCTCTGGAAGGACTCAAACCCCACTGAACACCTCTGGAGGGACTCAAACCCCACTGAACATCTCTGGAGGGACTCAAACTCCACTGAACACCTCTGGAAGGACTCGAACCCCACTGAACACCTCTGGAAGGACTCAAACCCCACTGAACACCTCTGGAAGGACTCAAACCCCACTGAACACCTCTGGAGGGACTCGAACCCCACTGAACACCTCTGGAAGGACTCAAACCCCACTGAACACTCTGGAAGGACTCGAACCCCACTGAACACCTCTGGAGGGACTCAAACTCCACTGAACACCTCTGGAGGGACTCAAACCCCACTGAACACCTCTGGAGGGACTCGAACCCCACTGAACACCTCTGGAAGGACTCGAACCCCACTGAACACCTCTGGAGGGACTCAAACTCCACTGAACACCTCTGGAGGGACTCAAACCCCACTGAACACCTCTGGAGGGACTCAAACCCCACTGAACACCCTGGAAGGACTCGAACCCCACTGAACACCACTGGAGGGACTCGAACCCCACTGAACACCTCTGGAGGGACTCGAACCCCACTGAACACCTCTGGAAGGACTCGAACCCCACTGAACATCTCTGGAGGGACTCAAACTCCACTGAACACCTCTGGAGGGACTCAACCCCACTAAACACCTCTGGAAGGACTCGAACCCCACTGAACACCACTGGAGGGACTCGAACCCCACTGAACACCTCTGGAGGGACTCGAACCCCACTGAACACCACTGGAGGGACTCGAACCCCACTGAACACCACTGGAGGGACTCGAACCCCACTGAACACCTCTGGAAGGACTCGAACCCCACTGAACACCACTGGAGGGACTCGAACCCCACTGAACACCACTGGAGGGACTCGAACCCCACTGAACACCCCTGGAGGGACTCAAACCCCACTGAACACCTCTGGAAGGACTCGAACCCCACTGAACACCACTGGAGGGACTCGAACCCCACTGAACACCACTGGAGGGACTCGAACCCCACTGAACATCTCTGGAGGGACTCGAACCCCACTGAACACCTCTGGAGGGACTCGAACCCCACTGAACACCACTGGAGGGACTCGAACCCCACTGAACATCTCTGGAGGGACTCAAACTCCACTGAACATCTCTGGAGGGACTCGAACCCCACTGAACACCTCTGGAGGGACTCGAACCCCACTGAACATCTCTGGAGGGACTCGAACCCCACTGAACACCACTGGAGGGACTCGAACCCCACTGAACATCTCTGGAGGGACTCAAACCCCACTGAACACCTCTGGAGGGACTCAAACTCCACTGAACATCTCTGGAGGGACTCGAACCCCACTGAACACCACTGGAGGGACTCGAACCCCACTGAACATCTCTGGAGGGACTCAAACTCCACTGAACACCTCTGGAGGGACTCGAACCCCACTGAACACCTCTGGAGGGACTCGAACCCCACTGAACACCACTGGAGGGACTCGAACCCCACTGAACACCACTGGAGGGACTCGAACCCCACTGAACATCTCTGGAGGGACTCAAACCCCGCTGAACACCTCTGGAGGGACTCAAACCCCACTGAACACCTCTGGAGGGACTCGAACCCCACTGAACACCACTGGAGGGACTCGAACCCCACTGAACACCACTGGAGGGACTCGAACCCCACTGAACACCACTGGAGGGACTCGAACCCCACTGAACATCTCTGGAG